TCTCTCTCTCTCTCTCTCTCTCTCTCTCTCTCTCTCTCTCTCTCTCTCTCTCTCTCTCTCTCGCATTCCGAGGAATTTCCAGCAACAACTCGAGAGCCGCGTCGTGCACGAATATTGCATTCAAACCGAAACGGCAAACTGAATCGATGAATGTTATACAACATGGTCGAACAGGGTGGTTTGCTGGGGCTTAACGATGGGTCCAGCGAAACGATCCAACGCTTCATGATTTAGCAAAGGAAGTACATTAGCAATAAAAAAGGAACATTCATAACAGATTGCGAAAAAAATATTGATTATGAATTTCTTTCAATGTACATATAAAGAGGCCTCGACGAAATTAGTACAAAATTAGCGCTTACTTGAATGAAAATAATTCTATAAAAATCAGCATTTCAAATATTTTATAAATTGAAAAGGAAACGATCAACGGTATATCAAAGGTTCAAAAAACTTTCGCACCTTAATGTAGGGCTACGTTACACATTGGATCGAGGTTGAACTACTGCATTGATTGCATAAACGCGCCTCTAATTATAATCGTTTTAACTTCTAATTAAAAACATCGCTCCAGTTATATAATTATTCGAAACATCTGCGAATTTACTAATTAACGATATTAATGTAGAATATCGTTTCGACGTTTAATTTTCTATAGATTATTTCAACGAATCGTAACAATGTGAGTTAGCAATGATCCACTGAAAATAATTTTCTATTCGTTTATCTGATCGAGATAAGTATAGCTTCAAAATTACGAAATTCTTGACCATGTGAACGGTGGTTAAGGCTTAAGGTCTGATGCTCGAACTGAAAGTGATTCGACGCAAGATCGGATGAAATTCGACCTCTTAACGATGTTAATAAGCGTTAATACCCCTTAAACTCGTCACAGGTACGCAAACGTGATTTACCATGCAGATATGATGGTCGGATATCTGTTTGAAGTGTTTCGACGAATGTCAAATATAGATCCACGTGCGCGAAATACGTTATGACTGTTTTTAATTAGACATTTTCATCGTTGCGCTGCAGGAATATTTGCAAAACGACGGGTGAAACGATGACGGCAACGTTCTAATTATTTTTACAGAACGTTGGTTTTTCCAATTACGAAATGCAATGAGTTTCTGTGCGATCCTTGCGATCCGAGAAAACACGATCTAAAATGCGTTTTAAAAAGTTTAGTCGCATGAAACGTATTTTGAATAACAAAATCAAAGGAAAGAAATTCATTATCAAGAGATTTATTCTGTCTCGTGGAGTATGTCGATTTTAGCGTAGAGTGCGCTTCGAGCATTAGCGCATCGAAAATTCAAATTATAGTAACTACATTAAAGTAATTAAAGTACTTTGAAAACCATTAAATATATTGAACTATACATATATCGGTGCACGTAAAAAGTTAAATTTTTTATTAATTAACTCGTTCTAGAACTATTTAAAATTTACTGTATACAATCGAGATTAATACCAAGCGACTTTTTGTAGCTTCTACAGACATAGGGCACCTAGAATCCATAGCAATACTCTTCTATAGTATTAAAAAATCTTAAAATAATAAAACAGTAGAAAGTAAAATTCTCTTCCATGTAAACTTTAGCAAAGCACTTGAAATGAAAGCCTTAGCAACGTCCAAGTTTTACATAATTTCTCTAAGCTCGTGTGTTCGCGATGCTCGAACAATGTCAACCGCGATAAATATAAAAAAAAAAACCATAACTTGAGACGATAAAGCGATCATACCTTTACTTTGACGCGCACGGCCTCTCTGGGACAGCCAAACATGTTTGACGTTGGTATGCGGAGTCTTTCATGCGCTGGCGAAGGCCGTTCGATAAATTCAAGATAACTCGGAATCCCTTAAAAAGATCCGTACCTCTTCGAGGACGTTATCGTCGCGACGAACGAAACTCGACATTCTAACCTTTGACGCCGAACAGTTTCTGCTAGGTTAATTTGTTTCACGCGGCGGAAACGAATCAAGCTTGCGAGCTTTCGTTTCTCTCCGCGAGGAGCATTCTCTCTCTCGCCCAGGACACTGCACCGCTTTCTCAAAGGAATCGAAGATCCAGAACACGCACCAGTTGACACTTGGCCGTCAATTTTCGTTCACTATGACGAAACGATCGATCACTTTTAACGGCTGTCGTCGCTGCGAGACGTTTTAAAATGTTGCCAAACGATCGTTTCGCGCTTTCTTCGAAGTTTCACTGTATACATACACCGTCACCGCGACATCGTTTGCACCCCGAAATCTACTTTCGATCTTCGCGATCGTGCGTCCCTTTCTTTCACGATGACCACCGATATCGCTGGAGAGACAAAGGGAATAGCTACGAAAGTATAATAGGCGAAAAAAGGATAAACAGAATCGTCAGACAAGATTGGCGTCACCTTCTCGCGCAAGCAAACAGAGAAAGAGCGAGAATGAGAGAAGCGAGCGAGCTGAAGTGGGCCGCTATTGACGTTATCTCGCTGTCAGACGTATCGATTAATCTTGTATCGCGTGTACCAACATGGACGTTCGACGCTCGATATATCGAAACATTGTTCAAACTTTTTTAATATTATTTCGAATAACACGTTAGTTTGTTTCATAATTATTTGAAGTAATGGTTGAAATAATTGTGAAATTGTTCACCAAAATCAGACGAGATGATGAAAGAGACGTTAAAGTAGTATTTTATACACGCTTCTATTTTATGAAATACTATGAAATTATACACTGTAAATTAAGATTAATTAACTAAGATACGGAGCCCTAGACTAGACTTAAATTGTTATTATTTTATTTTTTACGACTCGCGCGTTTATGAAGAAATAAACAGAGTTTGGTCAGCGCCCTCAGCGGGAAAACGCTCAAGTTTGTCGAGAAGTAGTTTCTACTTTTTAACGCTAGATGACGCCACTGAATCAAATTTACCGACGGCAAATCGGCATCGCATTATTTACGTTTCTTTGTATAAATACGTAATTTTCTTTCATGTTAATCATTGCGCTCAATTACCAAATGCATTTGAGGTAACAATGCTTTGTTAAAATAGTTTATATTATTCTTTTTTGAAGGTGGCGTATTACCATCATTATAGAGCGCAGCAGGTAAAAAAGTCTGTAATTCAGTGGCGCCATTTAATGTGAAGAAATAGGAACTATTTTGTCGACAAACTTAGGCGTTTTCCCGCCGAGGGCGCTGACCAAACTCCAAAAATTAGTTCTATCTGTTTACCGCTAGATGGCGAGAACGTGCAATTCAAATTCAATTCAATTTACATATCAGTTTACAGTTTCTCACATTTCTCTCTTAATCTATATTTACATATGTTTTCCTTAATTTTAGTCCTATTTTATTTATAATACTGTATTTTTATGAATTTAATAAATAAATTAAATTAACGCATCTTAATGTCATCGTACACATAAATAATGTATACACTTAATATTTTCTCAATTTAATCCTGACCATTTTTAAACAATTTCATGCAGCCATTTGCCAAACAAACATCTTTCTGAAATTAAAATAAAAATCATCCAAGTATTTGCAATATTTCGGAGTAGTTTCGAATCAGTTCAATAGATTTGTAACGGTGCGCGAGACAATAGTCTCTTCCAAGGTAGATTTCTGTGCTCCTCGGTGCATCCTCTTTCCTTCGGATCGGCCCCGATCCGCTACATAATTTCATAACGGCCCACAAAATAGGAAGCCCTTTGAAAAATGTAAATCCCAGGCTTCGAGCACACTTTAGCAACTATATCTATTGAATCGCGGCGTATCGATTGCAATTTATTATATACCGTCGGCGAGACGCTGCGCTTGGCATGCGACGCCAATTTTCTCTTTTCACGGAATTGAATTGTTGGACTTTAGCGGATGTCATTTGTTAGCTGTGTTGCGCACGAGCAGGAACGCGAGCAAAAGTAGAATAAATTAAGCGTAATTGCAGAAATTCCCGCTGACTATTGCCAGACTGAAATACGTCTTCAGAAACAATACGTAACGTTTCTTCTGTCAGTGACTGGCAATTATGCGTTTCACAAACGATTTGTTTCATTTATTTCACAGAAAATTAATGAAATATAGTTTCGAAGAAGAAGAAAGTACGAACTTATCATTAATATCGGTCAAAATCAATTTTCCGTTAAATTTCAATGACGTTCCCTCTGTTGCCATAAACGTGCATTTATCAGTGACAAATAGCTTCGTATATTCAGCAAGGCGTCCACATATCATTAACTCCGGTGGACGGGCATTAAACTCGCAAATCTAACAGATTTGTATTCGCTTATGGTGTGCTCGCGTACGCGAGCAAACCAAGTGTCGCGGTACCAGGCGAAATAAACATAACTGATGCTATTGTTCGATGGGATTGTTTGTTGTCGCCAAAACGTATCCCAGAGGGAGAGGGAGAGAGTGAACAGGGAGAGACAGAGGCAGAGAGAAATGGAGCTGATCACATCGAACTGTCCATCTATAAATTACACGCGCTTCTCCGATGACGGCACGCAACTATGATCGCATATTAAAACGTTTGTTAAGATTCGGACAACGTGTTCAACTTCAGTTCACATTTTGCAATAAACATGTATTAACGTTAATACATAATTTATAATAGTTTTAAAAGTATCGTTAGCGTTGAAAATCCCGGAATAGCACGGGGAGGGGGGCGTATGGTTTTCAGATTCGATTAAAACACATCACCGCGTCTCTGACAATACGCACAGACAAATAAAGAAATGAAACACCCGACGCGGTTGCCGGTGAAACTTTTATCACCGTGAAATTATTCAGTTCGCAGTTTTACCCCTGTAAAGTGGTCCCCGTTGACTCTGGCTTTAACGCACTTTTTCATTCTCTCCTACCCAAGCTTTCGGAACATTTTTTGAAGCCATTTTTTAGACGGGTCGCGTGTCCCCCGACGTCGTGCCCCCTAGACGCCAAAACGAGTTCCATGAATGGAACTCTCGACTTTCCGTCTGGAGAAAAGGGACGGGGAAAATAAAAATCTGTCGAGCCTAGGGAACGAGTCCCATCGCTGCTATCCATTTGGTTAAAAAGTTGTATTTGAAGAGCACTGTTTTACATTTTTCCTCGCTATTTTTTCCATTTCATTGGGCGTTCCGTTGAACGAGTCCAAAGTTGAAGCTTCAACTTATCGTCCTAAATACACCTGGCTAAGGACTATTGAACAAATTACATCAGTCTAATTTCTTCCATTCTTCCCATCTCCTTGTTGCCACTTGTTGTCTCATTCGAAAATAAACTTGGCCCCCCGTTTCCCAAAGCGTCAAGTAGTTCCATTCCTTCCACCTCTCTTTCGAAGCACCGTTAAGTAATTTACAATCTCGCACTTGTTTTTTCAGTGGCCAGCAATCTGTTAACTAACGATCTCACGGAAGAGACGATCTTTTTATGCAGACAAGTCAAATAAGCGGAGAACGAACTGTTTGCTCTGTGCGTTACCCTTTTTCCGCGATGGAGGTACGAGCGTGGCGCGCGCGACACCGACGTACCAGGACCCGGCAAACAAACCCGATAAATTAGCCATAGCGGGACAAAAACGTACGGATTCGTCGTCGTGACACAATGTATACGATGGCCGCAGCTGAGTGACACGTTATGTCGGTTCATTGATTTTCTCATACCCTTGCGTCTGCTCTCTTTTCGCTGATTACTCGACGGACCCAGGCCATCGCCATCCGCTGCGATATTACTGGGTAATTTTGCGGTTCACGTAATTTCCCTGAAAGGCCAATGAGATTTCGGGCCGTTGGACGTCGCCAACATTTACGCACCGGTCGACGGGTATACTTAATCGATTACGCAATTATTGTTAGACAATGTTCGACAACCAGGCGTACGTGTATTTATTTGCTCGTCCTAATTAGAAGTCTGCGTGCGCGATCTATCGCCAAAAACTGTTATCTTGGGGATATTTGCTGTTCGATACTTTTTATTTGCAATTCAACAATCCTGTCTGTTTACACAGCCAGTGCAGGACAGCGTCAGACTTATTAGTAAAACAGGTATACGCGGAGGAAGAACGCACGTGATAATTTATTAAATTGTATGTACAGATTATTCCACTTTGAAAGTTTACACGAATTATAGGGATTCGTGGATGGTGTATTACGTTTATGGGCTTACAGTGTTATTAAAATTCCATGCTAATGAATAATGGAGAGGATAATTTCGTTTGATTTTAGTTATACCCCAGCAATCCAGATGTTTGTGTGCGTTGCATATTAGCGCCGAAAGTAGAACACAGTTACTTATTCATTAATGAATCGCGGATCCATTAAAATTTAATTTTCTCTTATGAAGTGTCAATTCTATTGAAATTTAATATTCACCGCGACTGCATTGGAATCTAATATGCGACTATAACGTTACGCTATATTTAATTGTTTACTTATTGCTCCTCGATTAATGTGTGTGATATATCTGACTTAAAAAAAAAAATTAATTCGCTTAAAGGTTCGATAAAGTGTAATCGAAATTTGAACAGTTTCTTTATAAAGAATTTCTGAAAATCATAAACAAGATTATGTTTGTGTCGCATCATCGAGCTCATCGTTGAATAACGTCGCGATACGTTCGCGATCCCTTGCGCAAAATTTCACTTGGAAAATTGAATTTACGAGAGGGTAAGTTTTCCTACGTGACGTTTGCATTACAATTTAGTGGAAGAAACATGTGGATCTACACGTTTAGCAAACTCGGTCGCGACGCTGGAACTCAGTGGAGAGCAGTTGTTTCTGTCAGTTGAAACTTGCGAAGGATTATGGTCTATATTATCGGACTTCGTGCCAGAAAATTTGCGGCGTTGTCCTGTTTAATGCTAATCCCTTCCGCGGACTGTTTAAATAATTATGGTCACTTAATTCTCTCTTGGAGTTCTAAACCAACATCGTCGATTCGTGAAGTGGACAAATTCGTTCAGATTATTTCGCCTTGGATTAAATATTAGACAAATTGAAAAATAATTGTAATAGTAAGTGATAAGAAGCCTGTCGTGATCGTAGTATCCGTTATAAATTAATAAATGTTGTTCAATTAATACGCAGGTATCCATACAAATAACGATTGTTGATAACATGAAAATTATTTCGAAACATGAATTTGTAAAGCTTTCTTTTATACATTTTCGATACGTTATTGTATGTGTGATTCAGATGCAATTGATTAACCCTCCGAAAATTCAGTATTACGCTGTGATTTGATCAAAGTAATTTACAATGGGATCATCTAAACACGTTTAACGAGTCACTCAGAAAAATTGCTGCTGGTACGTGTGGTATATCGAATTCACGTTCTAATCTCCGATTCGAAGCAGGTCATCAATTTCAATCGAGCTCTTCCCTGCGACTCAGCCTGAATTAGTGACCGTATTTTCCAGGCTTTTCTGTTTTTTCCGAGATTCGTGAATTCC